CAATCATTATACCAAAATATTTACTTCCCAAAAGACTCACTTTGGAAGAGGTCATCAAGAGGACATGACCACCAGGTGACCTAGGAGCTGGACCTGGGCCCCTCAGAGGCTTCTCACCCCCTCTCCTGCCCTTGGAACGTTTGCTGGACCACCGTTCCCATAGTGGGAGCCATCTGCAAGGACACAGCCCTTGGAGAAGAAGGGGTTGTTGAGCTCCCTCTGGACTGAATACATACGTGAACCCCTTCAAGGCTGCTATAAAAACCTAAAGATTCTGGCAGGCAACACATTATGGAGATCTATTTAGCTTGCAGCTGCTGCAGACAAAGCTCATATGTAAATTTCCTTGCCAATTAAACCTGCAACTACCAATCCGGTGTGACCTGTTTTCCCAGACACCTTGCCCTCCTGTACCCAGATAGGTTTCCAGTTACATTCCGGAAACTCCAAGGGCTGCAGACCAACAATAAGTCATCAAAATTATTACAAAATAGGCAATTGGTGTGACAGGGTCCAGCCCCTGGTGTCACTGTGCCTCCTTCATGAAGCATGCTATGTGAGTTCTCTTTTCCTCCTAACCACTCACACTCCAGGAGCACTTTGTTATTTCTGTTCTACAGATGAGGAAACTGAGGTTCAGAAACCCAATCAACAGGGTTTTTAATTTCCTGTTCTATTAGTTCAAGAGCCACCAGTGTCAGGTCTCTGTCTGGGCTCAGGGCTGGCCAAGTGTCAGGGAGCACAGTACAGGAGCCCCGGGTCCTCCAGAGGGCAGCCACGCTAGTTCCCGTTCGTGCAGGTTGAAGCAGCAATCATCGGAGAGGGCTTTGCTTGTGGTGTGAAGCCCTCCTGGCAAGAAAATATCTTCCTGGGTAGAGCAGACACTAGGGAATAATAAGGGCATAAGAGAACTTACTCCCCAAAAACTTAAAGGTGGCTTTTTCCTTTTACGGTTTTCCTAAGCATTTACAGAGACCAAGACGGCAGGTCTCCACAACTTATTTGGATAGCCTGGTTATGTGAACATCAACTTTGTTCCTATTCAAATATTTACATATTTTTTAAGTCTCCATCCATAAAAAGGGGATTGTCTGCACCTTCTGTTTCTAACACCTACTAGGTAGAAGGATTAATTGTCTAATCAGAAGGCAGCTATGTAAGGATGATCAAACATTGTAACTGGGGTATTTCGGCCAGCTGGACTCTCCTGGCCTTCAGACGCATGCATTCAATGTCCGTAGAGGGAAGTAATGAAGAACATTCTTGGGTGTCAGGCAGAAATCAGGCGTGGGTCTGATTTCTGGCGTGGTCACTGATCGGTTTCATGGACTGACGCAGGTGAATGTTTTCTCCAAGTGTTAGGTCCGCATTTTGTGATGTTCTAATAAGCATTGTTCTACCTTTTGGATGCAGTTGGGGAGAGGAGTCTAGGCCACTGCTTCTCTGACCTTCTGCTTTTGTAGTTAAGATAATTAATAGTGAATTTACACACATACACATAACCCTTTTGGAAATGTACATGTGATCGAAAATGAATTGCTTCTTACAGATGTCAGGAAGGCAACAGTGAAGCATTCATAAGCTTTGCAGTTTCTAACATTTCAAGCAGGTACTCTGAGTTATTTAAGATAACTCATTAAATGTTCATTTTAATGGCCTACTTGTAAGCACTTTTGCTTTCCCTGCTGTCTGAAGAACTGGGTTTCGTGACTGAATATTACTCTTACTATATGGTTCCAAATTTTGGATGATTACCTTTTTTATCTTGAACAAATTTAAGAAAGTTTTTACCCACAGATAAAACTAATATTGATTCAACCGATGCTTACTGAGGTCCTACTGGCAGGTGCGTTGCCAGGCACTAGGCAGATAGATGCCAAGAAAAGTGAAAAAGGGATTCTTCCCCCAAGGAGCTCATCATCTAGTTCTGGATGTCATTCCCAGACCATCAGAGTCAGCATCATCTGGGGACTTGCTAGAAATGTAAATTCTCAGGTGTCACCCCAGACCCGATTACATCAGAGACTCTGGGGTTGACCCCCCAACCATCTGTGTTTGAAAAAGTACCCTTTGAACAACTAGCATCATCGTCAAATATCGTAACAACAAATAGGTTAGTTTATTAACTAAATCTCAAAATTTCATTTATCTTTTGAGGAAACAGAGGCCAGGGGGCAAAGGCCACATGGGGTGGAGAAATTAAAACCAGAATTCAGGTATCCCCCCTCCAAACACACACTCAAACCTACACACAGCCAAGGTTCTTTTTCTTTTCTGACACTTTAATCCCTAAATCTGATGGGGAGCCCCAAGTATTTCCAACCCAAAGTGAAAACCTTCACTTTTCAAAGAAAACAGAGAAACTACTCTCTTCGAAAATAAGGACCACTAACAAAATTCAAATCTGATCAAAACCATCCAGTAAACTAGCAGTAATTTCCCAAACTTTTAACAGTCCAAGTCCCATTTTCAACATTTGAAAACTAGGAAGGCTGGGGGAGAGAAGTATAAAAATACAATGGATAACGTGATCAGAATAAAATCTGGGAAAATATACAATATGCAGAAATATCAACTGTGGTTCACCTTCCATGGGAGAATTACAATCTTTTTTCTTTGTATTTTTCCGAATTTTTCCCAATGGTTACATATTACTTTGGTAATTGAGAAAAAAAGTAAAACTCTTTTTTGAAATGTTACCTCCAAATCACTCGACATGAAGGTTTATTTTGTAATTCCATTTCTCTCCATACAGCAGGATACTGTGTGTGTGTAGTAATTATTTATATCATGCCATATGTTATGATGAAGATGAAATTCAGTAAATATATTCCTTCCAGCTGGCACTAACATGAAGAGGTTAAATGCTTTCCTAGGTTCAAAGCACTATGAATTAAGATAAGCTAACTGCGAAGCTAAAGGAAACATTTATTGAAATCTCTGAGAGCATCCCTTTTGAAAAACGTTGATGTGACACATAGCTCCTTACTCATACCGCCCTGATGTTTAACCTCTGGCACAAAACAGAATGTTCAGCAATTCCTAGCAAAGTCTTAGGAGTTCAGGGGATAAAATGCATGGGGGATATTAGAGAAATAAGAAACAGAATGATCCTACTTTCACATAAAATTATGTCCCTGTGGATAAAAAGACGTCCAAAATTACTGGCAAATTTCATTGTCCTCAATACCCTTTAGAAAATGTTTTTTTCTTTATCAAGAAATGTTTGCTCATTAAAAAATATCTATATCAGTTACTTCATTCGAGAAGTCATAAATAAACAGATAAATAAATAAGGACCGTCTCATTTAAAGAGACGTTTCTGCCATAAAAACACTGCTGTAATGTTTCACTTTATAAGACAAATTCATCGCATGAAGAAAAACTAGCATTGCTTTACTGAAACTCTGAGCAAAAGAAATGCAGTGAGTGTTAATTCAAGTCTCTTAAATGAAGCAGGGAAGTAAAGTTAACCAAGGTGACGACTACAGAAAAGGAAATCCTAGTGGCTACCTGTTTTACCAAAATATCTCACAACAGCTGATATTTCTAGAATTTACAGACGATTTCAGAAAATAATGAGTTATGAGGTGTATATATTATACCCCAACATTTATAGTATCTAAGATCACCAGACTTATGCAACAATTTGGCTTGACAGTAGTATCAGAGAACTCAGAAAGAACTTATTATCTTAGGTTTGGCTGTTTAGCACGCAAGCTTTCACTTACAGAGGGGCATTGCCAAAAAACCTCAAATTTCCCTCAGTTCTCTGCTTACTTTCTTTCACAGAGCAGTCTCACCCATTGCAAAATTAATAAATAATAACAAATAATGTGAATGTACAACTCACAGAAAGTTTCTCCAACCCCTAGCTCCCATTCCATATAATTACCTATCTGCCTATGGAAGTTGATCTATAGAAGCCTTGCTGTGAATGTAGCAAGCTAAACCTACAAGGGTCCCCTTTCAAATACTTTTTGACACAAACTTGTGGCTCAGTCTGTAAATCCCTCCAGACCCTTAGAAGCTTGGTTCGCATTCTTCCGTCTCTCAACCCCCTCTGGTGAGAAAAGGGTCCAATGTTGGGTTTTGCCTAATAAAGACTGCCTGTTTCTGCAGTTTTATTTTGAGGCTGCTAAAAGGTATTGATTAGAAATTACAAATCCAGCTTCTAACCATTGATAAATGCTGAGGGAACAATCCCAAACCAACGAGCCCCAAATATCTTCAACCTGTAACACAGAAATACAACTCTTCTCAAGAAATAATGTTCCTACTCCATCAAACTTAAAAAAATAATAAGATAGAGCAGCTTTCATTCTGAACAACATTAAATTTTCTGGGTCACTTTTTTCTGTCTCATCGGGCCACGTTTACAACCTGACAGGGACGGCAAAGACGGTCTCTTCACGCTGCCAGGTCGGTTGTCGCCCTCTGAGAGCGAATACCTTACCGTCCCCTTCCCTGCAGCGGTTCCCCAAGAACAGACCTCCCACCCGCCCTGCCCTCCACACCTCACCACTCGCTTTTCTTTTCCTCCAAGCCGCAAAAGGGCGAGCTTCTTCAGAAAAAAAGTTAATGAACCTCTGCTTCTGGGGTAAAGGTGCCCCACCTGCGATCATAAAATCGGAAGACTGGAAATTCCTAAGAGCGCGTCCACTCTGCGCACTGGACCCACTCAGTGAGCGCTTCACACCCAGAAACCCGGGAACATGATTTATATGCAGACCTGCACCCATCCCACACAAGTCCGCACGCCAGCTTGCCTAACCACTTATGTAAGCTCGTGCCTCTACAGTCCCAAACTGCACACACACACGCGCGCGCGCGCGCGCGCGCACTCACCGACACCTGTCACGCATCTGAAATGGACAGCATCCACACCCAGGAGATGAAATGAAATCAACACATATGAATTGGGGGGGAGGGGTCTACCGTTTTAAAACATCTTTTCCCCCCATTTGTTTCTTGCCCGTTTTTGTCACAACTACAATTACCTTAGCAACCAAAGAATTGCACTGACTCCCCCTCCGGCTTCTGAATTTCTCCTAAAGCCAAGCTTGCGCCAGGTTCATGGAAAAGCTAGAGAAGCCCAGAGAACGAGGGACCCGCAGCCTCTGTGGGGCGGAGGGGACGTCCGAGGCGGTGTCCCCGCTGCTCTCCAGCGACCCGCCTCGTCTTTGCGACTTGCCGCGGTGGCGAGCGCGGGGCTCAGCGAGCGGAGAGCGAAGCCCGGGGCCGGCGAGGAGGCGCGGCGGGTCGCATGGTGCCTGGGGCGCGGGGCGCTCGGGGTCTCTGGCGCTCGGCCCTCGCCCGCCTCGGCCGCCCCAGGACGCCGGGGTCCGCGGAGATCGGTCCGCCCCCTCGGCGCCCGCGGGTTCCCGCAGCTGGGGGAAGCCGGAGCCGGGCGGAGCTCTCGCCGCGAGCAGGGCCGGGCGCAGGAGCTGCCCCAACTCGCGAAGTCGCTCGGCTCCGCCGCTCGCGAACCGCCGCAGCGGCGCCCGCTGTCGGGTGTCGAGCAGAGCTGCAACCCGGCGCCGCGCGCACCTGGGCGCCGGCACCTGGGCCCAGAGTCGCACGGCGCGGGGCGGGGCAGGGGCGGGGTCGGGGTGGGGCATGGGCGGGGCCGGGGAGGGGGCCGGGGCGGGGGCCGGGGGGGCCGAGGCACCTGCGCGCGCCCGCCGGGCTCACCTGCTCCCAGCGCCGCGGATGCTGCCGACCGTGATTGTGATGTGCACGAGCCAGGGAAAGCCTAGAAATTGCTGCGCTTTAGCTGCCTCCGAGAAAACTGGCAGACTGGCTCAGCGACGCGGAGTCTCCTTTGGTCAGTCCCGAGAGCTGGCCGCGTCTGGAAACTTCAGTGGCGTCAGGGTTGTCTAAGGGATTCCAGGTCCGGAGTGATTTTGCCCGGTAGCTTGGAATCGCCGACGTGTGCCTGGCGCCCCCTAAATTAAAATGGGCCACCGAGATCGTCAGGGATATTGTTACTAACCTCGTTATTTTTATCGATTCAACATTTACACAACATGCTGTATTTGGAATATTTTATGATCATTCGTATCTGGAACACCACAAAAGAATTTTTAAGAAAAATTAACTCCGCAAATGTTCTTGGGGAATAAAGAAAAAAGTTGAAGACAGAAAATGAGGAAGGGTAATTTGAACTGAAGACATCCTTTAATGCGGGATCTTTGAAACTGGGTATTTACCTAAAACCTCAGGAAGATGCATGTGAAAACAAGATTGTGGGTGCTGGATGGTAACCATGGGAATGGTGTGCAATATCGATGTAACCAATATCAAGAGTAAATTGAAGATTTATTCTTGAATTGTATTGTGTTACCAGGAAAACAAAAACTTGAAATAAAAGGTTTCTAAGGACGGATGACCTGGGCTGTCTTCATCCACGTGGGTCCAGAGGTTGAAATTTAATGTCTCCTTCCCAATATAACAGCTCCCTTCCCACCATCCTATACTGAGTAATGGATATATTCACTCTTTAATCCAATAAACAGCAATTAGCATCTGCCCTGTGTCAGACCCTCTGCTAAGCACTAGAAATTAATGAAATAAGTCCCTGGCCTCAGACCCTTTTGCCTAATGGGGACAGTGACACAAGCAGATATATGTATTACCTTGGGCTAAGTCACAAAAGTGGTGCCACCAAAACCTGGAAGAAAACCTGCAACCTAAGGAAACCACACTTAAACCTAATGAGTAAAATATAATTTCAATTGATGTCCCAGTTATTTCGTTTATTAAAATTGAAATACAAAACGTTTCCTTCCCCAGGTTTAGCATTTGGCTTAAGCATCTTTGTGGAGCTGGCTGCAGTTGTGTAACACTTGGAGAACAGGCTGCTTACCGAGAGATGGGTGGTGAAGGGGGCTCTTCCTCCTTGTGGAGCTCTGCATTTCTGAGACCAGCAGCTTCTTGAGGGTCAGTCATGAGGGAACATCTGAAGAAAGGCCTCACTGTGTATTTCCCTTGATACAGTAGCATCGAAAATAAAATACTTCAGAATAAACCAAGGAGGTGAAAGATTCACATACTGACAATTGCAAGGCACTGAAGAAAGAAATTGAAGAAGACACAAATAAATGGAAAGATGTCCCATGTTCATGGATTGAAAGAGTTAATATTATAAAAAATATTCATACTACCCAAAGCCATTTACAGATTCAGCATAATTTCTGTCAAAATTCCAATACCATTTTACACTGAAGAAAAGAATCCTAAAATGTATATGGTATCATAAAAGACCCCAAATAGCCAAAGCAGTAAAGAGCAAGAAGAGTAAAGCTAAAGGCATCACACTACTATAGCTGGTTTCACAAAGCTATGTAACCAAAACAGCATGGTATTAGCATAAAAACAGACAAGTAGACCAATGCAGAGCCCAGAAATAAGCCCACTCATATACAGTCAATGAATGTTTGACAAGGGAGCCAAGAATATTCAGTGGGGAAAGGATAGTCAATAATGTATATTAGGAAAGCTGGATAGTCACTTGCAAAAGAATGAAAATGGATCCCTATCTTATACAACTCACAAAAATCAACTCCAAATGGATTAAAGACAAATGTAAGACACAAAATGGAAAAACTACTAGAGGAAAACAGAGGAAAATCTCTTTACTGTTGGTCTTGGCAATAATTTTTTGGATATGACTCCAGAAAACACAAGTAACAAAAGTAAAAATAAACAAGTGGGACTACATCAAACTAAATAGCTTCTGTATGGCAAAGGAAACAGCAAATGAAAAGGCAACTTATAGAATGGGGAGAAAATATTTTCAAATCATCTAGCTGATAAGGAGTTAATATCCAAAATGTATAAGAACTCAAATAACTCAATAGAAACCAGTTTAAAAAATGGGCAAAGGACTTGAATAGACATTTTTCCAAAGAAGACATACAGATGGCCAACAGGTACATGAAAAAATTTTCAACATCACTCATCACTAATTTTAAGGAAATGCAAATTAAAACCACAATAAGATATCACTTCACACCTGTTAGAATGGTATTTTCAAAAAGACAAATGACAAGTATTATTGATGAAGTAGAGAAAGGGGAACCCTTGAACACTGTTAATGGGAATGTAAATTGGTATAGCCACTATGGAAAACAGTATACAGTTTCCTCAAAAAATTAAAAACAGAACAACCACATGATCCAGCAATTTCACTTCTGGATATATATCCAAAAAAATGTTATATGCAACCTCATGTTCATTGCAACATTACCTATAATAGCCAAGACATGGAAACAACCTGAGTGTCCATGGACACATGAATGGATCACAAACACACACACACACACACACACACACACACACACTTACTATTATTATCAAAATTATTATGAAATTCCAATGGAATTTTTCACAGAAATAACCAATATTAGCTATAACAAAAAGAAGGAAATTCTGTTACTTGCAACAATATGGATGGACCTTGAGGGAACTACACTAAGTGAGATAAATCAGAGAAAGACATATACTGTATGAATTCACTGTGGAATCTAAAAAAGTTGAACTCACAGGAATACATAGTAGAATGGCAGTTACCAGGGGATGGGAGAAATGAGAAGACGTTGATCAAAGGGTACAAACCTAGTTATTAGATGCATAAGTTCTAGGGATCTAATGCACAGCATGGTGACCACAATTAAAAATACTGTATTATACTTAAAAGTTGTTAACAGAGTAAATTTTAATTGTTATGCACACAGAAAGTGGTAATTCTGTGAGGGGATGGAAGTGTTAACTAACCTTATTATGGTACTCATTTTGTAATATATACATGAATCAAATAATCACAAAGTACACCTTGAACTTCATGTTATATATATATCAGTAATATCTCAATAAAGCTAGGGACAAATATTTATATAAAATCAGATATCATATATGTACTTATATTGATATATTTTATGTATTATATGGGCTTTCTAATACATGATATATAATTTCTTATATAAATATGGGAAATATTTTATTTCATTGTGTTCAATTTCATATGAAATATTTAATTACACACATATACATATACTTATATCTATAACACACACAGACATACATACTATATAATTTTATAATATATATAAGTTATATATAATTTAATATAACACATTTATACTATAAATATAATTTTTATATATATATATAATAAAAATAACTAACTTCATAGAGAGAGGCCATATTTTTCACTACCATGTTCAGCACATTGGTTTACATACCAAGAATTGAGCAAACAAATATGTATATTAAGGATATAGGAGGCAGTTTTCTCACTGTTGAAGAAGGGAATTATAGGTATAAAAAGAAGGAAGGTTAAAGGAAACCCAGTGATGTGACTTGAAATTAGAGGAGTTGGTATGAAATTATTTTTAATTTACATAGATAAAAAGATAGAAAAATATATGTAGAGGTATATGTGTGTATATATGTTGATATGATTCCTAGTTCTGTCCACCAAGAGAGTCTAAATCCAACAGTACCCCAGTAGCTATGAACACACCTAACATCAGACTCTGATTTATTTTATTTATTTTTTCAGTGTTCCAAGATTCATTGTTTATGCACCACACCCAGTGCTCCATGCAATACGTGCCCTCCTTAATACCCACTACCAGGCTCACCCTACCCCCCACCTTCCTCCACTCTAAAACCCTCAGTTTGTCTCAGAGTCCACAGTCTCTCATGGTTCCTCTCCCCTCCAACTTCCCCCAACTCACTTCTCCTCTCCTTCACCCAATGTCCTCCGTGTTATTCCTTATGCTCCACAAGTAAGTGAAACCATATGATAATTGACTTTTTCTGTGTGACTTATTTCACTCAGCATAATCTCCTCCATTCCCATCCATGTTGATACAAAAGTTGGGTATTCATTCTTTCTGATGGAGGCATAATACTCCATTGTATATATGGATCACATCTTCTTTACCCATTCATCTGTTGAAGGGCATCTTGGCTCTTTCCACATTTTGGTGTCTATGGCCATTGCTGCTATGAACATTGGGATACATATGGCCCTTCTGTCA